GGAATACTGTATAACCAAACAGCGCTTTGTACAGTATGATACTGTATGGGACGCGTTTTTTCGGCAACCGCGGTTAAATCGCGGTCAATTCTAGGTCAGGACGCGGCTTATTTGCGTTTTTACCGCGTGCACTGAACGCGCGACGGACGCGTCTTATGCCTCAATGATTTCAGGCGGTACTGTAACACATCGTCTTTTACCGCTGTGAGTCCACTGGGTCGGGTCCCTGGTTAGAGCCCTGCAGTCACATGTGAATTGAGTTTGTTTGATGTGTTGTTCTCTCCTATGCTATGAGGGTTTTCTCCAGGTTCACTGGTTACCTCCCTCCGTAAAAATCGACATGTGAGCGTACACACGTATAAAGTAAAATATATGATATCAAAGAGGAAAATATGAAAATTTGTACAGATTTTGTTGTTTAAATACTCAATCCTGATTGGCTAATTTGTATGAAAATTTGTCTGGGTGGCCTTGGTTGGTTTAGTTGCACAGTTACAAATTGTAATATATTTTTCTTTAACTTTTTACTTTCATTTTGATTTGTTCTTTTATATTGTTTATATTTACTTAGATAGTTTCTTTTGTATTTAAGTTTTACTACTGAAAATCACTAAAATAGTATTATTAAACCATATGACCAAACTATTTACTACTCTAATATTACCTGTCAATCATGACATTCATTGGTATTATTTAATGACTTTATCTTAATATATTTTGATTTTTAAAAATCAGGAATTTGAAATCAARGAGATTAAGCCAGAATTGTCAGACGAGGAGTTTGATTTGCACGTTGATCCAATAATAATGGTAAGAAAAAATAATTACTATTAGAGACGTGCTCCAACTAAACCTGTGAAACAAATACTAATTCTTAATAATAAATAGTGATAATCAAACGATAGGAAGCAAAGGATTCTGTATGAATTAGTACTAAATGTTATTCACGGGTTTAGTGCGTGCACTCTAATAATTAATAGTAATTATTTATTTATTTATTTATCTATTTATTTACATATACTGTAACTTTATCCATGACAATTATCTAAGTTCCTAAGCTATGATGGAAGGGGTAAGCACAACAGAGCTTGGCTCCAAACTAAGTGCACCCTAACAAAAATTTAAATTATGATAACAACAACAAAATACGAATAATGATAAACTCTAAGTGGAAAAATCAAGTGAAGATTTACCAATTATACTTAGATAATAGTAGCTAATTTAAAGGCTAAGAGTATGGCAAAAAGTAGTCCGATCTATTCATTGATGATATCTTAAGTAATTCTAAATTAAGTGKCAGTTTAAGATAAGAATATCAGTAATAGATCTAGGATTTTGTAATCATAATTATTAGTGTTATTATTATTAGTAGTAATTAACGATAACAATCAATAATTACTGTTTTTTGTTCATCTATTTTATAGGAGTACTTTGAGCATGGAGACACAGAAGATGTGGCTGTAAGTAATAAATTATAGTACATAACAGGGGCCACCATGGCAGCGAGAACCAATTGAATTGTAGGATAAAAACAATACATTACAATATTGGGAAGTGGAGCCAATCAGAAAGCAGCAGAAAATAATAGCCTTTCAACATATCCCCTCATTTTTTTTTTTTTAATTTTTAAAGTGGGTGTTTTATTTATTCACAATAACATACATATATTAATATGTTTACTATTTATGTTGCTTTTTTTTTTCATTATTGCTATTATTATTATTTATTTTTTTTACTGACCTCCTCCCCTACTACTATTTATATGACATTTTAATGCTTTTGATGAAGAAAAGAGGGGGGAGAAAATAGTGAACTYATATAACACATCTTTTTATTCCCTTGAGAAAATATTAATGACAAAATGACATCACATGATTTTCATGCAGTCTAGGTTTCTGATTGGCTTAATATTGGTTTGGCATCGTTTTCGAATTCATTCTACAATTTGATTGGTTCTCACTTTCTAGGTGGCCCCAGTTATAGTAGTCACTGTAATCACACCAACACTGTTAGTAATTATACTTCTATCTATGGGAATCATTGATTTTCTGTTTACTTATCCTTAACAGATTTCTTTACATGAGCTTAACATCTCCTCCAAGAAGTACAAGGTCAGTGCCTATCACTATTTGAATCTGTATTAAATATTGCAGCAGTGTTGTCGTCGAGATTGGTCTAGAGGAGAACAAGAAGTACAAGGTCAGTGCCTATCACTATTTGAATCTGTATTAAATATTGCAGCAGTGTTGTCGTCGATACTTACCATAATTCATCTTGTGTTCACGTTTTTACTGTGATTATTTGAATATCACAGGTCGTCGTTCTTGCTGTTACKCATGCATTTGAAAGAAAGGTAAGTTAGAATGTATCTAAGGTTCGTTCCATACACAGCTCTACTCATGTGCCAAACCTAGTATATTTATTGTTTTGGAGTGACTGCTGATTGAGATGGCAAACTTATTGAMCTAAATTAGGCCCATCCTGTTGGACGTAATTAAGTACGGCATGAATTGAGTACCACAAATGTGCAGTGTGTGAATCAGTTTGGACTGTCAGTTTCAATTTGGTATGGCAAACACGTTACATTTGACAGGGCTTGCCGTATGGGGACAGTCCTAAGTCATGCTTCATAATGTAACAGTGAATGTATTTTCCCAAGTTGTTTCCCCCACCACTTGACGAGTCACGAATATGTATAGCATTGGTATATTGATTGTACAACAATCCTGTGATATTTGTATTATTTCAACAGGCATCGTACAGGGAGTTGGCATCAGTGTTGATATCTGATCTCTATGGTAAAGTGCTTTCCAATGCTGACATTGCCAAAGGTAAGTCTACTAGGATTATCATTAATTCAATGTTATTAATCAAATCAAACTAGCGGTCTTTCATCAATGTTGCGTTCTGATTCGATGAGCCACTTAACTAATCTATAGGTTATAGCCTGCGTAACAAAAAGTGCTGATTTTGAAAACCAAAACATTAAATTTAACTTTAATTTGCTTCTATATATTTGACCWAMTAGTTGGAYTTGACTAARATAATTAGTGGCCTATGAGTCAATAGCCCGTCCAGCCTTCTGCCTTAGGGGGCTATTGACTCATARCCCATTCAGCCTTSAGGACAAATTGCTAAATATATTATTGTATTAGTATGCTTTTTGGTTGAGTTCGGCTAGAAAAAAGTTTACGGTAGTTTTGTGAAATGGGTATGTTGTCAAATGAAGCATCACCCACTGATAAGCGTTGCACCCATGCATTATTGCATTATTGCTGCTGACGTGAGTATTATGCTTGCTTTCTATTGAATACTTTTGAAGGACTTTGCCCCTGACAACCATACAGTATTTCACTGACAAAACTTCATAGCAAGATTCTGTTGTGGTTCCCTGCTAGCAGAGTCTCTCTTCTCTTTCTCTCCCTTCTTTCAGGCGGGGAGGAGGGAGACTCTGCCGATGTAGAGCATTTCACAATCTTGAACGAAAGAAACCAGTTTTAAAACTGGTTTTTAATCAGGTACATGTAGTGCGCATGAGCAAATGTAACACGCAGTGGTGCCAAACGTTGTTTGACGAGAGCGGCTGTCAAAATCATGACAGTGTTGCTAAGTTACACCACGCAGGCGTGGCAGAGTCTATATTTTTCACTCCATCAAAACAAAAAGGAAAATAGGCTCTGCTAGCAGGGAACTGTTGTGACAAACTCAGCTGAGAAGCATAGTAGAGTGCATACCTTATATCCTTAAAAAAGTTAACTAACAAAATTGTACAAATTAGTGCAAAGTTTTGTAGGTCTACGGTCTACTGAGKTCTACTGAACTTACTAATATGTGCAAATTTGTTCAATATTTAATCAGATTATATTATGAATCTTGACCATGTTTGCAGGCTTTCAAACTCTTTTGGATGATTTGGATGACTTATCATTGGATACTCCTGAAGCATACGAGTACCTTGGGAAGTTCATTGCAAGGGCAGTAGCAGATGACTGCTTGCCTCCAGCTTTTGTAACAAACCATCAAGAGGGAACTCGTCCCAACTCATCCCAGAGGTAATTGATGATTAATAATAATAAATATTATAAAATAACTGTTATGAATGTCGCGTTCTGATCGGTTTGGAGCGCATGCTCTATTAGAGCACATTGCACGTGTGGGCACTTTCCGTTGCGTCATTCCTATCTATTATTGTAATTTGTATTTTATAAAAGAAATAAAAAACTTGCTTGCTGTGCTGTGTGCAGTCATAAAGCACTTGAAATGGGTAAATGTTGTTAAACGATGCATGTGTTATCATGTCTTTAACAGRAAAGCTCTTGATGAAGCCAATGTGTTTCTTCGTATGAAACATGGTATGGTGAGACTAGATAGTGTGTGGGGTATTGGTGGTGGGCGCCATCCTGTCAAGTACCTCATCAAAAAGGTAACTTTCTACCATAAGATTGTAAAACCTATTGTCATTCAAATGGATGCATTTATCTAATATTATATCTTACAACATTACAGATGGTGTTGCTTCTGAGGGAGTACCTTGCATCAGAAGATGTTGAGGAGGTATGTGAATTGTTTATCCTATATCAATAWTCCCCATTCTATATACTATGCATCAAGGGCAGTATAGCATGCAGTGGTCAAATGCACTTGCCTAACCTCTGGGGTCTTGGGTTCAGAGCAGAGTGAGCAGAGTTTGTTTCATCTTTACTTTAATTAGAAGGTCTTTGTACAGGTTATCTGGCTTTCCTCCCTCTAAAAACGATCTGTGAGTTAGCCATGCCCTGACTTAGATGAGCCCAGAGGTTGTTTCAGGGTTTGATCTGTGAGTTAGCCATACCCTGATTTAGATCAGTCCAGAGGTTGTTTCAGGGTTTGATCTGTGAGTTAGCCATGCCCTGACTAAGATCAGCCCAGAGGTTGTTACAGGGTTCGATCTGTGAGTTAGCCATGCCCTGACTTAGATCAGCCCAGAGGTTGTTTCAGGGTTCTATCTATGAGTTAGCCATTCCCTGACTTAGATCAGCCCAGAGGTTGTTTCAGGGTTCTATCTGTGAGTTAGCCATGCCCTGACTTAGATCAGCCCAGACCATGCCCTGACGTTTATACTGTACAAGCTTATAGTGTTTGTATTGTATTGACTAGGCCTGCAGATGTGTGCAAGAACTTGAAGTCCCTCATTTCCACCATGAACTAGTCTATGAGGTTAGTCACAATAAAGTCTAGGGCACTTTTAGTATGACTTTGAAAAGCTCAGCGTCGCATGTGTGGCTTGCCGCGACACGACACGTCATGTCATGTCTTCCAGAATTTTGATTGGTCGATTTTTTCTCGTGCAACGTGTGGTGATTAGTGTAACCTTGGCAACACCATGTCTGAGCCGTGTTCCAGGTAGAGCAGTTTCGTATGACTGTGTAATGCTCACTACCGTATGCGTGACGTGCCGTGACCGTGATGCGTTCTAGAATTTTAATTGGCTAATTTTTTTCACGCGCGATATGATTGGTCTAAAAGTGCCGTGACCTTGGCGTGACCGTGTCCGCGCCGTGTTTATACCGTGTTCCGGGTATTTGATTGGATGGAGAGTAAATTCTCGTGCAATGTGATTGGTCTGGCGTATCCCTTGCCGTGTCATGGCCGTGTTTGTGCCGTGAATTTTTCACAGCCATACGAAAACTGCACTTTGATTGGATGGAGAGTAATTTTTCGCGTAATTGGAATGCCGTGTCACAACCGCGCTACTATGCATACAAGCTTTTCGCAGTGATACTCTGTGTGCAATACCACATGGTGTCCATAATGTGATGTTACTGATCAATGGACCTTATTCGTGGTGTGACAATGTTTTCCCAATTCAGCGTGACAAACCTCCAGGGGATTCATTTTCTTTTGTTTTTACTCTTTGAAAAATTCATGAGTATCCCAAAGGATACGAAAGGAATAACGATGATATCCCGACGAGTTTCAAAACAATAGCTCTTCATTCCCCCAGAGGTTTGTCACGCTGAATTGGGAAAACATTGTCACAACACGAATAAGGTCTATTGTCTTCACAGTGATACTCTATGTGCAACACCACAGGGTGTCCATAATGTGATGTTACTGATCAATTGTCTTCTTAGGCTATCTTCATGGCAATGGAGGTTGGTACTCAGAGAGTCATAGACCTGATTAGAGCTCTCTTGAAAAAGTTTTCATCCACAATGATTGTGACGCCAGGTCAGATCAAAGAAGTAAGTCATTTATACGGGATATAATATTAATATAAGCTTGCTTACTTTTAAATAGGACCATTACTACAGTTCCCTCCGCCATCTTGAAAGGTAGCCGTGCCTTTGCATTAAAGCGAGACGAACAGTGAGCTTGTAATGCTAGAGAACATTTTTAACTCCTTGGACAATTATTCGCATGTCTCTATTATGATTTAAGAACAAGCGCAATAGGAAAATTACGAGCCTTGTGTGAAACGACTGAAGAAGAGGGCCAATGGGCCTTTCACAACTTCAAGTTGCGCAAAAAATGAGCCAGCTCAACTAGAAATCATGGACAACTGACCGCCTCATCTCATGTCTCTGTTATTGCAAGCTCACCGTTTGTCTCGCTTCGATGCAAAGGCACGACTACCTTTCAAGATGGTGCAGGGAACTGTGAAAGAGACTATTCAGTTTGATTATGGAGTAATCTGGTCTAGAATACATAACTGATCATGGTTTGAATGTTACTAGGGATTCCAGCGTGTGTTTAACTCTATGGAGGATATAACCCTAGATATCCCCCGTGCACACGTGTTGCTGGAGAAGATCGTCAACGATTGTACCAAGGAATACATCATCCCAAGGTCATTGATCCTTAACATGCCAACAAGGTAAATAAACACGGTTTAGACGTTAAATGTTGGGCTCTTAAGAATAGGGCGGCTAACTAGAACTGCAGACTCAGCTGTTGATTGGTCTAGAGGAGAAATGCAGACTCAGCTGTTGATTGGTCTAGAGGACAACTGCAGAATCAGCTGTTGATTGGTTTAGAGGAGAAATGCAGACTCAGCTGTTGATTGGT